TATCTATATTAAAAATTTTAATTTTTTTTTACTTCGACAGGCAGTAAAATGGGGTACAACCCACGATACACAAATACCGGTATTCTAATAATTTGACCGAATTTCGCACTTTCCGCGCATGACGTAAAGTGGCATAAAGCAAACAGTATTTGATTGACGTTTGAATCAGAATTATTTTTTAATACAGTTTTATTTCTAATTATAAAGATATAATGATACAAATTAATAATACACGTTCATTTTTGATATTTTAAATAAGAGTTAAAATTATTTTGTGTTCTGTTCATTTTTGAAGTACCTATTTGAAGAGTTTAAAGTATTTTGGTTTTGTGTTTTGGTTTTGTGCTTCCATTTTTGGATGTTTTAGCAAGTTTATTGTGACAATAAAAAACAATAAAATGTCTAATTGTGCTGTGGCTACTTGTAAAAATTATAGCAAAAAAAAATATAAATATTTTCGATTTCCAAAGAATGATGATCTTGCTAAGCAGTGGATTGTAGCATGTCGCGAAGAAGGGACAATACATTTAAAAAATAGTAAGTGTAGGAGGTTTTATTTATATATTGAAAAATTTGATTCACATTTATTAATATTTAGTATCAATGGTCATGTAAAATCCTGATTCCGTTGCATAAAAATAAATTTCATGTATGTACATATATTATAACTAAATGTTTTTTGCAGCTCGTATTTGCTCTGTACACTTCAAAGTCTCCTGTTTCTAAATGCCTCTGCAGCAGAGATTGTTAAGATACATGCCCATAAATAGCCAACATTTGAAACCTGGTGCTGTGCCCTTAATCAGGCACCTTGTGCAGTGGTTTTACTCGAATCTTGTTCGTTCAAATTGTGCATTATTGTTTGACGTTCTTTGTTATGAACTCATGTAAAATAAAGTGTCTTTGCTCATTATACTTTTATTATTTAGTTGCAATAATAAATTAACTAAATGTTAATAAAATATGTGCAATATTTCTACTTATTCAATAAATTATCTACTTTCACTTCAGAAAAACCACAACCTTTAACAATAAATAAATGTTACAGTTTTTTATTATCGAACGTCTTGTTACTATACAGATGTGTCGGATTTTTATGCCACGTGACGTAATATCATGTGATAAGAATAGAGCTAACATGCGCAGGAACGTACCGGTATTTGTGTTTCGTGGGTACAACCTAAAGCATCATTATATTCCCTAATAAACCAAATATTATAAACTTCATATATATGTCAGTTTGAAACTAAAATTAATTCATAAAATTCTGTATTATATTTCTATTTCTGAATCGTTTGTAAGTATTTAACATAAATCCTGTATTTGTGAAAGCAGATTCAGCTATTTAAAAACGTCCACAGATAGAGCAGTTAAAAAAAATACAAACTTAGATAAAAGAAAACAGATGAAGCATTTTACTCATAACTTATCATTTGTTTGGTCTCAATTATTGGAAAAGAAAAAGAAGATATTTTATGCGGATTGATAGAAGACAGACTATAATCCTAGATCTTTTCTGGCAACGATGCTGTTACACGCAACTAAAAGTCTGTCGATACCAGTGGCGTATCTTATTAAAGATAATAACTCCTCGTTTTTTGTGTTTGCAGTTGAGTGCAATGTAGATAAAAAACTTAAAAACCCTTTATTTTTTTTTTTCAAGAATAATACAATATTTATTGAAAGTAATTTTAAAAAACCAAATTCAAAATCGTGCAGATGCCATCACCATATCTTGATCAAATTTATATGGGATTACCCCTGAGGTGCCCCATTACTAACAAAAAAAGAATCGATCGATAAAATACTATACGTGACGTATAGTATGAATGAAACAAGGTTATTTTCAATTATGGTGATGTCACCTTTAACGCTTTTAAAATCCATGCATTTATTTGCAGGCCTATTGGTGTTTGCTATAGTTTAACTTAGTATTTGCAAAGTTGTTATTTAGAAGGCGTATGTATGTAATAACGATAAGTACAAAAATGCCCTGCATAATATTCTAAAAAAACAGGTTCTGCTAAAATATCAAATCTGCTGAAAGCAGTTAATAAAATAGCTTAATGTACTTTGTACACATTTTATGCGTTTTTTGTTTGGTTACAAGTCATTTTATTTAGAGACTTACTATTAGAAATGTTACAGAAAATATTGCGAGAACTCTGCCCACAATGCGTCGGAGTGGGAAACACTGCATTAGGTACGAAAATGAATTGGTGGGGACGCTTGATGTATCGCAATATATCTCGAAACTATTCTAATTAATAAAACTTGTTGCTATTAGTGAGTTATAGGTAAAAACTATTTTTAAATATGAAAGGGATAAACTACACAGCCTGGCAACAGCGTACCAGGCAACGCATGTCGGTTCTTTTACGAAATCGCTCTACGCGCTACGTTTCTTTAAAATATATGACCAGATTTAGAGGTAAATAAATGTACCTTTTGTTTCTATAATCTAAGAATTAAGAATACAAACCACTGAAGTAATTTGTGCATTACGAGAAGAAAACAAATTATTTAAAAATATTTTGCACCGTTGCGTTGTAACAAATTGTAGTTATTCTATATGGTGAATTTAGGCGGGAAATTACATTAAAAATGGTTTTTCAATCCTTATTTTTCTTCTAAATGCTTAACTAAAAAGTCAAATCAATGTTTTCCTGTTAAAATAAACACCATTATTAATTTTTTCGACGTAAATAAGATTAAAAATTCCGATGCGTTGTTATAGTCCCTTTTCGGAAGGGGCCATTGCCATTAGATATTCCCTTTTTAGCATATTTTTTAAATAAAAGGCTCATAAATTGTAAAAATGTTCATCTGGGAAGAGGGAAGGGGCCAGGGCCCCCCTAGCTCCCCTGCAGCCGCCCTTGTGTTCAATTTATCAATTTTATAGATTAGGTATATTTTTAGTATCTTGTCAATTTATATTTTCACGATTTTTGAGTGTTAAAAATTTTATAAAGTGCGTTTTGCCTTGATGTGTTATACGTTCCTTTTCTATCAATACACGTGTAAGTAAAAATCGAAAATAGCCTTTTATAGGTTAGTATAAAAAATATAATAATTATACAGGACAGTATTATGGCCGGTTTTTAAAAAATGTGTAAAGGTAGGCTTTCAAAAATGCAAAAAATATCATCTATCAAATTGTGGGCCTACCTATATTGGAATAATACTGTTTCATATAAAATAATAATTATAGATTTCCGAAAAATCCTGAAAACGAAACGCGTGTCTACAGTTTCTCAATAGGCTTAATAATAAACTTTTCCAATTCAGTGTTGTTCCAAGTATTTTCTTGACAAGTACATTGAAGAAGGCCTTGTTCGATTGAGAGCTAATGCAATTCCTATACTTGGTGCCTTTCAGCTCATTTCACTGAATGTTTTGAATTGATCACTTCGGTATATGTATATGTTATAGTCAATTTATGAAACCAGGCACTGACTGAACATGTTATCCCGTTTATATAAATATTTATGATGAATAGACTAGTAGAGCCGCCGAGAGCCATGTGAGGCTCGGGACCTTTCTGTCACATTTAAAAAAAAAAAAAATCCTCACCCTGTATTTTTCGTGATATTGTATGATATTGTATTAGACACAGAGTTAACTGACTGAATGCGTTCGGACGGTTTATAGGCCGTTTATATTTCTATCATAATTTCATATATAGCGGAGCAATATTGGCGGTATACAGCGTCCAGACGGTATATAAACCACCTGTTTTTATAAATTGACTGTAACATATACAAACGGTAGGACGATGGGTGCGTTTATTTTGTAGGTATGGATTCTAGAAATTTGAGAAATAACAAAAAGTTTAAGCGACATCGAGAACGTACACGTTTACGCGAGGTTGAAACTAGTGATTATATTAGTACGAGAACGCCTGTTTAAATTTCATAATAAATTCTTAAATTTAAACATAACATTTTCTAAACTACCCCTATTCAAGCTGTTTGCGATCAAAAGCACGCATTCAAAAAATGCATATCTGCAGACGTGATAAATATCACGTACCCTACGAATCCAAAGCGCATTTTAATACATACACTATCTCTTGCATCGCAGTATGTCTCTCCCACTCAGTAAAATTAAAAAAGTTTAACAAATTTCACTCGATGATGTAATTCTTGGCAGTTGGACAAGTCCATTGAGGGTAGTACAAAGCCCCTTTAAGCACAAGTACTAACGATCGCCTGCTTCGACTTCCACTATACACATTTCGTTCTCGTCACTCCAATTTTAAACTTTGAACAGTTAGCATGCCTCGGAATTGGAGTACATCGTTCCCGTTACACACTCACACCGATTTCAAGTTTCGACATGACATCATGCTTCGTAGTCTTGAGTTTTCAACAATCAAATAAATTGTTAATTTTTGCCATAGTGTAAATATGTAAATAATTATTTTCTAATTTTTGTTGTTAAATAAGTGGATAAAACAATGTGCCTTCCGCCAACTTTTGATTTTATAGTCCAGGGGTTCCTCTCACAAGGTTGAAACAGATCCACCTATACCGGTTTCGGCCGATGACTAAACAGTAGATAAAATCTACAAAACTTTACAACGTTTAGTAAGACAGATACCTAGATAATGACAGATAATGGTTTGTATCGAAAGAAGTTTGTTTTTCAATCATGTTTATCCATGTACGATAACGATAATGCAGCACTGTGGCTTGTCACTTATTAATTACAAAATTTACTTAACTTTAAATTTAAGTTTAAGTATTTTTGTAGTGGTTGATAAGATTTTTTTGTTTTGAAATGTACGAGCTAGGTGACTTTTTAGTTGAAACGTTGTAGAATATTTTTAACTATTAATATTGCAAGAGTTATCTATGATAATCAGCTGAGAGATTCATGACGTTATGTAGGTAAACGTACCTTTAAAAACTGACGCATTTATTGAATTAAAAAAATGTTTTTACTGATGTTTTGAGATATAAATAATTTTAAATAATACATAGACTAGTTTTACGTACCAAGTAATAGAATTTCTGGCTGCAGCGAAACATATAAGGGCAGTACTCAGCACGATCAAAACACTTCTCAACGATGATAAAATCGATGGGTTATTTTGAATACTTTGGTGGTGACTCGTATTATTTCTTCTTGTTGGTGTATGTTCTCCACTTGAAGAGGAAGATTCGTCCTCATAGTCTCCCAACATTGTAAATCCTGAAAAAAAAAAAAACGTGAACAACATCATAAGAGATTTCCTACAATTGTGATTTGTATATAGTCAACATTTAGATATTCTTCTATGGTTGAAAGGTTAAATACGCCAATGTATGCTGTATCGACTAAGTGGTGTCTAAAATGGGGCGAAGATGGACATTTTCATTTTATATTTGCATAAATTGGTTTCCCATTGTACGGGGCTGTAGCCCTACAGCTTCTACATACCAGCCGCCACTGCTATGTCTTAAAGATTCTGTAGCTTATAGAATATATCTCAGAATGCTACCTTACAGGCTTTCTTTTACTTTAGTCTATAAAATTAAGATATTCACCTCCTATTATAGTAGAATTATTGTTTTAGCATTTTCTTAAAATTTAGTTTTGTGTAAGGTTTCTTTGAAGATATATACGATCTATTTTTGGACCGAGCATATCACTCATGTTAGTAATCGAATAAGGGCTCTAATGCATACATTTTATGTACTTCGCGATATTTTCTCTAAGACAAAAATAATCATGACATATTCTTCATTAGTGGAATCTGTTTTAAGATACTGTATTACGGCATGGGGAGGGGCTTTTAACACTACACTTAATACTCTGCAAGTAACACAAAACACAATTTTGAAAATAATATTAAAAAAAGATAAATTATTCACTACCATACGATTATATAATGAAAACGAAATCCTCAACATTAAATCACTCTTTATCTACCAATGTATCATAAAAGTATATAATAGCCCTGAACTATTTCAATATAAACAAACTCGATTGACTCGCTCTACTACAAATATGGACCTTTCTACTCAACTTTTTAAAAAATCTCTAACCCAAAGATCCTTCTTTTACTTTGGTCCCAAGTTCTACAATCTAATCCCCATACATCTCAAACAAAAAAGTAAACTATCTATATTCAAACAAAATATTAAAAAATATATAATAGATAACCAAATCACATTTACTGCTAAAATGTTGTAAGCTATACCTGATTTAAAATTGAAATTTGTTGTTAACTATCTGTATTAAATGTTGGAATAACTCCTGGATAACCCTCGTCTGCTTCGCTCTGCATATGTACTCAATCTAAACAAATTTTGTATCCTACTTATTTTTATACCTACTTAGGCACTAAAATATAAAATGTACGTTTTATTTCAAATCTTTTAGAATCAGCACAAGCAACACAGGCAGCTTTTGCTTAGGCTTGTTGCTAATTCTAGATTTTTTGTAATCTATATTAATCTTAAAATATTATTATTATTATTTGTACTTTATTACTATTTGAATTTGAATAAATTTAAATTTAGAGATTTTATGACTTAAATCTCTCATTTTGAATTATATTTTACCTTAATAACTAAAAAAATATTTTCAATAAGTAGAATACTATACTTTTTCTACGATCTCCGTTATGTCATGTATTCAAATGAAAGAAGAAAAAAACAAATGCTTTAATTTGTGTTGGAAGCAAAAAAACCTTTCAGTTCAATATTTAATAACTGACACTGTCAATTCTGAATAATGAACGTTAAAACTAGATGTGGGTTGTTTTAAATTTTACATCATTTTTATAATTTTATTGTTTTTAATTCAATAAAAATGAACATATTTAGATTTAAATGAGCATATTATTATTAAATAAAATGAATTTAGCTCAAAGCCGAATATCACATAAAATACAACGACCGTTTCCCCTTCAGAAAACAACTACTCCTTTGGCTAATACCACAACAGGCATTGAATCACATCTGAAGGAAAAACAGCAGAGATAGAAATTAATTTTCAACACTCTCTACTTCGATTTTGCTCACCAAGGAGAACATCATTCTTGGACCGGTTTCGTCCTTATTAGGACTCCTCAGCAAGAAATAGATAGGTTCTCAATTCCAGTCTCTAATGGAATTAACAAATGCTACACATTTCACCAGTATACCATAAAGTTGGTTACGGAGAGAATAAAATTCAAGTAGCGAAAATGGTGTCGCCATCTGTTCTTAGTAAGCAAAATCAAAGTGCGCTTGGTACCCAGTTTGAAAACTAGGTGGAACCAAAAAGACCAGGCGGGCAATTTGTAAACGATAATAAATTATCAAAACTCAAATGTAATAGTAGCAAAATGAAATAAAATGAATTTAGCTCAAAGCCGAATATCACATAAAATACAACGACCGTTTCCCCTTCAGAAAACAACTACTCCTTTGGCTAATACCACAACAGGCATTGAATCACATCTGAAGGAAAAACAGCAGAGATAGAAATTAATTTTCAACACTCTCTACTTCGATTTTGCTCACCAAGGAGAACATCATTCTTGGACCGGTTTCGTCCTTATTAGGACTCCTCAGCAAGAAATAGATAGGTTCTCAATTCCAGTCTCTAATGGAATTAACAAATGCTACACATTTTACCAGTATACCATAAAGTTGGTTACGGAGAGAATAAAATTCAAGTAGCGAAAATGGTGTCGCCATCTGTTCTTAGTAAGCAAAATCAAAGTGCGCTTGGTACCCAGTTTGAAAACTAGGTGGAACCAAAAAGACCAGGCGGGCAATTTGTAAACGATAATAAATTATCAAAACTCAAATGTAATAGTAGCAAAATGAAATAAGCCAAAGGAGTAGTTGTTTTCTGAAGGGGAAACGGTCGTTGTATTTTATGTGATATTCGGCTTTGAGCTAAATTCATTTTATTTCATTTTGCTACTATTACATTTGAGTTTTGATAATTTATTATCGTTTACAAATTGCCCGCCTGGTCTTTTTGGTTCCACCTAGTTTTTAAACTGGGTACCAAGCGCACTTTGATTTTGCTTACTAAGAACAGATGGCGACACCATTTTCGCTACTTGAATTTTATTCTCTCCGTAACCAACTTTATGGTATACTGGTGAAATGTGTAGCATTTGTTAATTCCATTAGAGACTGGAATTGAGAACCTATCTATTTCTTGCTGAGGAGTCCTAATAAGGACGAAACCGGTCCAAGAATGATGTTCTCCTTGGTGAGCAAAATCGAAGTAGAGAGTGTTGAAAATTAATTTCTATCTCTGCTGTTTTTCCTTCAGATGTGATTCAATGCCTTTTGTGGTATTAGCCAAAGGAGTAGTTGTTTTCTGAAGGGGAAACGGTCGTTGTATTTTATGTGATATTCGGCTTTGAGCTAAATTCATTTTATTTCATTTTGCTACTATTACATTTGAGTTTTGATAATTTATTATCGTTTATATTATTATTAGTTTACTATTAATACTTAAGTTGTCAAAATATTATAGGTACGATGCGGATGATAAATATTACTTTAGCCACTAGTGACGGATAAAACGTTTTCGCTAGAAAGATGTCTTTTCGTATTTTTTTATACATGTAAACAAATTTGAAATTTCTCGTTATATTAATTCAATATCGTTCATAAGGCGTGTCATAAATTAGTGCAATATGAAGAATGTAGCGAAAAATATAAATAAAATATAAATCATAGGTATAAACAAGATAATGTTGTTCAACCTCTCTATATTTACGTAGATAAGTAAAGTAAATAAAATAGTTATAACTGTAGGTACCTTTTACTTTTATATTTTAGGCTGAAGTTACATACCACTCTGAACTGGCTTGTTTCTTTTAGCGCAATACCACCAAATCTACTTTTTTATTTTTTTAAGTCCAAGCGCTTTTCTGGATCATAACAACTCTATATCCATAATAATTATTTAAATTATTAATTAAAACTATTTTTAAATTATATATGGACCCTGGCTCTTTATGTGCCTGAGTTTGAACTTAAAACAATTTTTGTAAAAATATATAGGCCCTTTATCCCTTAAGTTTGTCCATTTAATAATATTTGGTCCCTTTGCTCTTTAATCCAGCCATTTTTGGTTTTGCAGTCTATCGAGACTGTTGAGGGATACTTAGTGTTTTTTAGTCACGATCATCTACAGGTAGGTAGGTAGGTAGTTATAGTTATTTTAAACAACTTTTCAGACTTTAAACCGAAAAAGTAGTCCATTGAGATCATCTGAACGAATATATTCCATATCTACTCTACTTAGTAAAAAAAATAAGTTACAATTCTGTCAAACTAAGTGTCAGTATATTTTTTAGTTATTTAGATTAAATATAATTAAAAATAAGTGAGTCTTGTGAAGGATAGATAAATAATAGCATTCATATTTACAAAAAAAATCATAAACCATAAAAACCATATAAAATCAATTTAATTATGAGTATTACAACTAAAAAGTTAGGCGTGTCGATAGAGCTGAGACAAGCGTACTGACTTTCCATTAAAGATGCCACGAGAGAGATAGGCCTCTCTCGTCTCGTAGGGCGAGAGAAAACTGTTCTCTCGTCTCGACGGGAAGGCGATTTTCTCGCTCGCGGAAGCCTTTCTCTAGTCTAGTTTCTCTCGTGATAAAAACATCAAATTTAAATTTGGAAATAAATGTGACGAAACATGAAAAAACTGTAAAATTTTGAAGACAACAAATAATTTTTCAAAAATTTGTCTCATGAGTACTTAAATTGGCAATAAGAAACACCTTGGTGTCTCTCTGTCTGTCCTGTCACAATCGGTTTACTTAGATTATTTGACAAACGATTGAAATTTGAAGAACAGCACGTACAGACCTAGAGAAAGTATCATTTTCTATATTTTTTAACAAACCACCTCGGGCGAAAATTGCTGTCCTCAGCGGTCGACGGACTGTCCGCTCACCGCGACGGAGTGTTCAAAGAAACCAAGGCTTTAGGCGGCAACTAAAAATGTAAATATTTTGTCTTGGAAGTTAGTTGCAGGGGAGGGTTTCAATTGGAAGTTAGAAGTTTTTATTGCTATCGTGTGATATCAAATGAAAGAATTTTGAAGAATGTTAAAAAAATATTATACGTTCGTTTGTTTTATTTTTAATTTGACAGTTTTTCGATGCAACACTTAAAAATTGTTGTCTTTCCAATTAGGCATTCCAACGACCTGTCCAAATGGCTACCAGTGGGTAAT